TTGAGGAGCCGGAGGTGGAGAGCAAGACGGAGGAGCAGAAGGAGGAGGAGGATATGGGATCCACTGCTCCGCCTCAAAGTGAGAAAATAGAGTCTGTTGTTGATGATGAGTGACCGACTTTTGTTAAGGTTCTTTTGCGATTTGTTTTGGTTCTTGCTGGGCTTCAATTTTGTTGGACATTTTTAGGGTAAATGGGATTAGAAGGGGGCGGTGGTGGTGGGAGATGTGGCGGCGATGGTGGGAGATTTTTAATGGGGTGAGGTGAGGTGAGGTGAGGTAGAGGGGTGAGGTGAGGTGAGGTGGGATGGGATGGGATGGGATGAAGAAGGAGATGAATAGTTCCATTATTTTATTTTCTTTTTGTTTTTAATTATTTTAGGTTAAAATATGTAAAGTTACCATTTTACCCTTACTAATTCTGGTCAAAATTACTATTTTCTGCTGACTAACAGTCAATTGGATGGAAACCGTCCAAATGGACCTGTGACGCATATTTATTAAAGGTTTGGGACCTCCGCTGACACAAATCAAAGGTTAGGGTAAAGGGCGCAAAAAATTGAAAGGTTTGGGACCGCAGCTGCAATTATCCCTAAACTTTATTTATACGAAAATCAGATATTAATTCAAACTTTTAATATTAATAATAATCTATCATACACTTTCAATTTCAAACTCTAATTATATTTCTCTCTCTAAACCTCTTCCTCTTCTCTCTCTCTCTCTCTCACACCCACGGTAGAGCCATGGCGAAAATAGAGATGGAAAAATGCAGGTTACTGTTAATATTGAAATGATTGGCCGTCACTACGACACTGCTAGCAGCACAGCAACGACCGCTCGAGACGTATTTCGGGGAGGTGTTCTCGTATGCTCCGGCATTTTTTGGTGGTGATTTTCGTGTGTGAGGAAATTGTGGGCACCATCAGAATGTTCTTGGAGGATCTAACGATGTTGACGACATTTTTGTGGTCGTATTATGGAGATTTTGTGATGGTTTTTGATGTGGTGGTGCTAGTGGATGTGATGCTGAAGGTGGTTTAGGTTGTGGCGGTGGTGCAAGATGGTAGCATTTTGGATCTGATTTGTTGGCGGTGTTTGGGTGGCGGTTGTGGTGGTTTTGTTATATCTGGTAGAGGTTGTGGTTTTTATTTTGTCGACGTTGGTGCTGGATTTGGAGGTTGCGGTGATTTTTTTTTGATTTAATGGTGGTGAATCTTGTGACGACAGTGATAGTTTTTTATTTGAAAATGGTAGTCAAGAGGTGGTTCTGCGATTGTGGTGCTGTTAGAGGGAATGGTGAGGTGATGGGCACAAGTTCGTGGTTGGTGATGGTTACAGATTATATGGTCGTTGGTGACCATTAAATTGGTTAATTTGTGACCAATAAATAATACGTGACCATTGAAAAAGATAA